AGAGAGAGAGAGAGAGAGAGAGAGAGAGAGAGAGAGAGAGAGAGAGAGAGAGAGAGAGAGAGGCCCCGGCCCAAACAAAATCGTCAGTTGATTGTCAACTGTTTGAAGTTTGAACTGAATGTCAAGCATATGATCATGGGTTGCATGTGGATGTTCCGTTACCTGTGCAACATGCTGCAAATTGATTAATATTCAGGTTCGTTCGTTCAAATTTGGAATTTAGATTTTGGATCACAAACCTTGTAGCTGAACAGGCCATCTTCATAGGTTTCGTAAGGTCCGATTGTGACATCAATTGGGCAGTCCTGGAGACAAAATAGAACAAAGTTCGACAAAGAGGATCAGCTCTCGAATTGCTTATAGTTTAACCAGATTAACAAACTTCAGTTTTCAGATTGTTGGTGACTACTAGCTATCAAATACTGGCTGACAGGCATGACACAGTTCGTTTTCCTCCTCTTCCTAGAAGACGAATCAGTGATCCCATTATCTCCACAAAGGATATTGCAAGGAAAATGAGCGATGGCGAGTTTCAGAAACCAAGCAGCATCATACACATGAAACCAGATAGTCGTGACCTCAAACCAAAAGCAGAATTGCATCACGAGTCCCACCCAATAATAGTACAGCAAAAGCTCATAAGTGACAATGTTTGAGTAGTCTCATCGTCATCAACAAAGAACCAATGTCGACATCCTATCTGGCACTCGGCGCCCAAACTACAAATGGCAGATCCTTTCTAGCCTATCTACAATGCCACTGGTGACGTCAACAGCTCCCCGAAGTACGAGCAGATCTCGGCCAATAACGTATGCTTCAAGCACCAGGTATGTCTCTCGTATCACTCACAACCTCGTTCCCCAACTCACAGCTGCCACATGCACCCAAGGACCACCATGCGCCCCATCCAGCATACAGCAGCGCAGCTCGGCTATGGCTGCCTGCTCCTTCCAGCTCGCCCGTGAGCGCGTGAGTGCTGGCCAGCGTTAGAGCAGCAGCGCTTGCGCAGCATGTAGCCAGTGCCCAAATGCCCAATGCGTGGGCAGGCCCTTCCCTTTATCGAAGTGGCCTGCTGCTGCGTGCGGTGATGCGGTACTGGGTCCCGGCCCAGAAGCTTCCGGTAGGCCCCACGAGGCTGAGCCTCAGTCCAAAGGAAACAGGCCCAGGCCTGTGGTGGTTACCAGTGCCCACCTGCCCTCAGCCTTTGTTCGGTCCATGTTGTGTATCCGGTGTTGTGTATCCGGCCCATGTTGTGTATCCGGCCCAAGGCCTGCCTCAGTTACATACAATGAAAGGCAGCCTGGGCCTGGGCGCTTCCAACCAACTGGCGCTGCGCAACTGCCTGAATTTCCCCAGTTGCGTAGTAGTCCGAAATAGGCCTCAGTCGGGCCTGCCTTCACTTAGGGCGGCCGACCTGGCGGATAACAGGGCCCAATGGGGCTTATTGAGGCCTTGTGCTTCGCATTCCCTCCTCCACACTTCGCTAGTCCTCTGAGAAGTTCATTCAATCTGGCGCTTTCCTTTCTGGAGCAACTTCTCATAGTGGGCGACAACGGTCTGCATCAGTTCCTCTCGTGTGAACCATCTATCCTCCTTTGGATCAGTGTGATGTCTGAACCGAACTCGATACTGCAGCTTCGGCTTCAGAGGACGCCCCCTTCCTGTCGGTCTTGGAACCGGCAGTTCTTTGTGATCCACGATGTCGTCGATGTCGACCTCTCTGTCCATGGTTGGGGACAGCATTGATCGACGAGTGGGAAACTGATCAGTTTCTTTGGAAGGTGCGAGCTTTGATGCATGGAAGACAGGGTAAGTGCGAAGGTGACCAGGGATCTGAACGACATATGACGGCCCATCCAGATCATCTCCGACAATATCCAGAACCTCCCAGGGTCCAAAGTACTGTGGCATGGGCTTACGGGATATCCCGTGCTCTTGTCCCAGTTCTGAGGACTTGACCCAGACTCTGTCTCCTACCTGGAATGTAGATGGGCGGCGGTGCTTATTCTCAGATTCTATCATTACCGCCTGTGCCCTGTGCATCTGTTCTACCGCCTGCTGCATCAGGTTCTCATATCGGAAGGCAAACTCTAATGTACCAGGTGCAGCAGTTGGCTGATTCTCAGGTGGTAAGAAGTCCAGAGGCAGTCTATGTTACGGACTACACCAGGGCTCGATCCCTGGTCCGCCGGACGCTACACGCAGTTCACTGCACAAATTTTATTTTCTTTGTTTTCTTGTTTTTATTTTTCTCTCTGTTTTATTTTTCTGATTTCGGACACTTGGCGCCATCCGGCATTCTGGCACCCATTTTCAAACTTTTGATTTTCAGTTCAGCCCTGGGCAAATTGCACTTCTGCCCATCGGACTGAACTTGAGTCCGATACTTAAGATCGGACCCAAGCCCAGTATGGGCATTCAGTTTGCGGCCTCAGTGCTTGAGCTTCGGTGTGACTTGCCTCGACATTGTGTTCAGAAATCCAAGACTTCGACTTTGTGACTTTGCCACTTCGTGTCTGCGTCCGTCAAGTCGTGTCGACTCTGCGTCGAGTTGAGTGAGTGAGTGTGTGTGCTCTCACTCTCTCCCTCTCTCTACCAGCCTCGTTGCCTTGCCTCTGCCTCAGCCTCGTCACACTGGTATCAGAGAGGTTCGAAGCCGCCCGACCCACCCTGCTTCGTCGTCACCACCTGGCCATCATCAACGTCCTCATCGTGATTGTCGCCGTCGTGACACGTCATCATCGTCATCGCCGTGCCACGTCATCACGTCACCATTGCCGTGCCTGTCGTCCTCGTCGCCGCGCTGTGCCATCCTCGTCATCGTCATTGCTACCCCGCACAGATAAGTGCAATGAGCCCAGACGTGATGATACTCGTCAACATTACCAGTCCCTATGATTATCGATCTGCTGATGAAATGACAAACAATCGTAATATGTGTGATGATAGAATGAGGTGAGAATCATACACAGACGAAGGAGGAGAGAGGGAGAATAGACAAAGGAGAGAGAAGAAGACAACAGCCCACTTCTACTTCGGGTTCCTCCTCCTCCTCGCCA